AATTAAAAAAAAATTTAAAAAAAAAAAAATCAAACTTTCACTGGGAAAGGATTATTTCAGTTCTTACACTCTGATGTAGGAGAGAGGGAAGAATGATGTTCTAGGTTGATGGAAAGTTGTAACTTAATTATTTAGCCATCTTCATGTTAAATTTTATCTTTAGTCCAAATTAGAAACAAATTTATGTAAATGAGTAGAGAAACTAGATTATAGACTATTTATTAAAGAAATGTAATGTTTGCTTTTTAATAGTGTATATAGAGCCAAAGAGACATGGATACCAGTAAACTAAAACTAGATAACAATATAAAAAGACGATATTTATCATTATTTTATATCACTTAAACTAAATAACTTTTTTTATTTGGATAATCCCATTAGTACAATAAGAATGGTCAAGCATTTCGACCAACCAGCTTTGGTCTTCCCTCCAAGTCAAGTTGTCAGTGAAATAGATCCCAGCATGGTGCCAGTTACTTGAAATAGGAAGTTCAGTTTCTAAAATAAAAGCACAAGACTTCTAGTTGACAGGTGCTTATTTTGTACTTTCCTGCAGCTACTTAGCTCAGAGTGTTTTATCAAATCAAATTAAATTGGATGTCTATAGCAGTTGATACCTTTTAACCATATACTTTCTGACTGACTCTAGGAATTAAAAGCCAACATCTACCTAATCTTAATTAGAGGGGCAAGAGACTTGGACCTCTTGGGTTGTGATGTATGGCCAAAGAGTCCCTGACCACTCCACTGCTAGAACGTGGACCTGGCGTGCCGGCATCCAGTTGGCCGGTGCAAGGCAGATGCAGGCAGCTGCCCTGTTTCTTCTGAACGTTTGGCTCTAACTGTTAGAAGGACTCAATCATAAAATTTCCATATAGCTCTTAGAGCCCAAATAGGTAAATTTCAAATGAGGAAATTGAGTGTGGAATTGTGATTTGCCCAAAGGTCACCCTATAAGGAACTTACATATCATGATCTCCTATTTCCAAAGCAAGTTTTGTTTTTTAACTAAATTGCCCATGTTCTAGAAGCTTATAACTAAGGTTCTAGATGCTGGCTTTGCTGATGTTAGCTTGAGCTATTTAAACTTCACTGATTTTCTGTTTTAAATTCCTTAGCCCTAATTATACTTTCCTTTGGGCCTATGGAATCCTTCAAAATGGGGTCAGCAGACTAGATCCTGTGGGCCCAATCCAGCTACCACCTGTTGGAACACAACCACACACATTCATTTACGTATTGTCTTTGGCTGCTTCTGTGCTTCAGCAACAAAGGTGAATGGTTGAGACAGAGACTGCATGGCCCACAAACCATAAAATACTTATTATCTGGCCCTTTACCAAAAAAGCAGGCCAACCACTGCTCTAAAATTCAGTAGTTGCTCCTTATCCTCAGTGGGTACATTTTAAGATCCACAGTGGATGCCTGAAACCCCACAGATGCCTGAAACCTGATTGCCGTCCATAGGAACATTTTTCCGCTCATGTCTTCCCCCAAATTTAATGCCTTTTGCATCTTAACTAAGTACTTTGCACACACTGTGGCCATAACTTTTGCAGTTTGAGGTGTGACAGCAAACCTAGCATGAATTTTTTTCCTTCTTCACAATTTCACAGATTCGTTCTTACCATAGATCTTAGCAACCTCAGCTGTGATGTTTTCTTTCATTATTAATTTGAGAACTTTCACTTTTTTACTTAAGCACTTTACAGCTTCTCTTTGGCGTATCCAAATTGCCAGCATTGCTACTCCTACGCTTTGGGGCCATTATTAAGTAAAATAAGGGTGGCTTGAACACAAGCACCACAATAGTGCCACAGCTGATCGCCTCCACCCCCTCAAAAACCAGCTTAAATCTTGCCACTGTCTGATGCCTTTCAAGATTAACCTACTTCTGTCTGCCTCCTATCAACTTACACTATGTGATTTTGTGCTTGCTGACTTGTGATGGAAATGTTCTTAACTATTAAGTACCCATGTTTTGTACTATAGACTTTCTCACTAGATTCCCTTTCTGGTAATTTAATTGTTCCTTTTACATCCTTCCTGCCATCCTTTCCACTGAATAATATTCTGAATGGAGCTAGCGAGAGTTAATGTGACGTTCTTTTTTTTTTTCCTTCCCAGATACAGGTTTGACCCTCGTCTCATGTTCAGCAATCATGGCAGTGTCAGGACTCGAAGGTTTTCAAAACATCTTCTGTAGCGACCGTGCCCGGCCTCTACAGTTGGATCCCTGCACGTGTCTTTCTGATGAAGTGATTGTAGTAGGTCTGTAGCTAGTCTTCAGGACCACGCCTGGAAGAGTTTCTGGACTGGCTTTGTTTTTACGTTCTGCTTGAAAAAGCAACCCAATCAGCTGACCCTTGTGCAACGTGTTAAACTGTGAACTCTGCCCATGTGTCAGGAGTGGCTATCCCTGGTCTCTTCCTTGAGGTCTTTTGTTCTCACCGTATCCTTTCTGTCCTGGGGCCATAGTTCTTGATTATTGCCCACGTGGTCAGAGTCTGAATTTGTACATCCATTCAGATAAATGTGAATACTTTAGGGCAAAACAAAAAACAACAAAAAAACACACAACCTTTTGGTATATAGCTTGACCTAAAAATCAAAGGACCTACATAGCATTTCAGATTGAGCACTTCACTGTCAGAAATACTAACATCACATGGCTTGAAGAATAACCACCTGAGCTGAATCCTCTGAGTAAGAACAGGTACCCTTGTTTTTAAATGAGTAGAGATACATTGTTTATAATATCCATCACACCATCATAAGGTTGGAAATTTAAAACATGTCAACCAAGCTCTGTTCATTTTTTTGGAATTCTAGGCTTGTGCTGCACTGACAGAGCGGTCAGCTGTGGTAAGACTAACTCCAGCTAGCTCTTGAAAGTGACAGCCGTCTACTCTCCAGTGGCTGCTAACCACATGCGGTGCCAGTTAACACTAGGAAATTGAGGAAATGGCTCTTCTCTTGAGACTTTCCCCTCTGAGATCTGAAAAATAAAGTGGTTTAGGAAGATCAGCAGGGAAGAATGGCCAAGGGTTGGGTTGGTGAAGGTTGTGTTTTCTGAGAGCCTTCTCTAGGTGGGGCTCTTGGGCTGACAGGTTGAAGGCCTGTACCTGGGGTTCATGAAGTTCGTGCCTGTCCAGCAGGGAGCCTGAGTTTCAGTTCCATGTGTGAAGTCACTTTGACTCTATCAGCATTTTGCTGCCATTCTGTTTATTTGTTTTAAGGTATAAAAATTCCTTTAGTTGATGCTACTTTATCTAGCTGCTTTATCTCCTTCTCCTTACCACCTCCTCCTTCCCTTTCAGTTCAGTTCTTCCTGAGGTTTTGGAGTCTTGTTTAAGGAGGGCCCCATTCAGTACTCCCCTGTCAAGATCAAATCTATGTAGGTTTCCTCAACATTTAGAACATCTACGTTTTTATGTTTCTTGGCTTGAAAACCAATTCCATTTCTAATGCTTTCTTCACAAGAAGGCTAATTGGTGGTGAGACAGCAGGGAAGGAGGAAGAGCTATAGTTTATAACTTGTTCAACTCAGGCACAAAGTGATTTTAGCTTTATTTAAGGTCTTCTGTCCAGCTTTAAACACTTTGTAAGGCATGGCCATGAGTAGCTTTTCTGCCAGAATCCCAGATAGCCATGTGGGTTGATAGCCGTTGAGTTTATTCCTTTACCTCACATGAATCCAGCAACTATGGTGGTATCTTGACATGAAATAGGCAAGTGAAATGAACACCTCTGCTGTGAATGTTTCCGAGAAAGAAATTCTCAAAATTTTGTAACTAAAAGCAAACTACATTGTTGAATATGGGCATCAGCTTTATTCTCCACCTTGACATTATTAGTCAACTTCCACGTTAGTGAGAGTTGACCATAGTTATTCCCAAATAAAAAGAAACCAACTCTTACCAGGTCTTGGACTGTGATGTCACATTATTCAGTTTTATGATGCTGGTTCCTGAAAGCAGGCAGAGTGATAAGAGTGACGCGAGTCAGCCGCAGATAGCATCTCTGCCACACTGCTCTCACCTTCAGTTCAGCTGGCATGTTTAGGTGGCGAGATGTGGTGAGGACCTCCTTGTACCTCTTCTACTTTGAGTACATTTCCTACTTAACCTTCAAATAGCCTCTAATTTTACTTTTAAACTGGCTTCATTCTGGATCTGTGGTAAAAACTTTCATAAAAAGACCTCAATGTATGGCCTAACGGACTACAGAATGCACTGATGTTTTCAGAATGTTTATGTCTAAGGGACCCACTGCAAGAGGCTTGCCTTGTTCTTTTCGTTGTGCTTATTTGGATTTTGATGATTTTCCCATTTAAGAAGGTCAGTTCCATGTCTGTTGGTGCCCTTCAGAGTAGGAGAACATATAAACATTAGGAATGAGCAGAGGCCTTAGGAGTGAATAAGAGACTTTTGCCTTAGAAGATTTCCTATTACAGAAGCTCGCTCTCACATACAGTTACAAAGTCGGGAACAGCTTTTGAGCATCTTTGAATTTGACAAATGGTGCTGTTGCAAACACATGTTAATTGACAACACTAGGGTTCTTATACAAAATAGTAATGATAGCCATGGAAGTTATACCTTATTCTGAAAGAAATGTTCTTAAATTTACTTTAGTGTCTAAATTAAGGATTAGTGCTTTTTTAATAAAAGAAGATAAGTTGTCCCAGGATCCTTATTTAAGAGAAAGCAAAGGGTATTTCAGCTGGCCCACCAGTGGAATTAGATGGGTGTATTTGGGTTCTTTAGTTTTACCAACACTCAGTTCCTACTGAATTTTGTAAATTCCTGTTTGCTTCATCTGTTCCTAGAAGTTATTCTGCCCTTGCTCTCTGTCATCTCAGTCATTTGACTTAGAAAGTGCCCTTCAAAAGGACCCTGTTCACTGCTGCACTTTTCAATGAATTAAAATTTATTTCTGTTCTAGTGAGAATGTGTCCTTTGTTTTAGTTCACAAGTACTAATTCTGACAAGATGCTTTTTTCTCCTGGTGCAGTTTAATGTTTTAATCACTCACCTAATACTGGAAATGGGCTGTTTCTTCATCAGATTCTGTTGAGTCTCTACGCGGATGGCTCTTATGTACATGGTCGCTACTGGTTGATAATCCTTGAATGAAGTACCATGTAGAAAATCCTTCCCAGTAAATCTGTATTGATTTATAGTTTTGGGGGAAATAAAGCTTATCTGGGCTGGCATCCACACGGATAGACTAAACTCACCTTCACTGGTGCTTTGTCTTGAAAGCCAGGCGTGTGACCCATTCCCTAGAAGAGGAATAACTTCTTACAGGGTCAACAAACTTCTTAAAGGGATAGATAACTAATACTTCAGGTTATCATAACTGCTTACCTTTCCTGTTATAGCACAAAAGTAGCCATAGATAGTACATAAATGAATACGTATGGCTATGTTTCAAAAAAAACTTTATTTACAAAAACAAGTAGGCCATAATTGCCAATCCCAGACCTTATAATTTGCCTCAGACCTTAGCAATTATGAAGATCATGTGGAAATCAAGATGTTAGAAGACACCCATACGATTGCCAGATTAGTATCAGAAAAACAGGTAATTCGGGTCTGATATAATGTGATACAATGTCAGGGTCATTTGTAAGGGTCTAGGATTTGATTGTAACCTTGCAAGCTAGTAAGCCTGTTGTTTCATGGATGCTGGCAGAAGATGAGACATCTTGGTTAAAGGACTTTGTTATAGCACAGCAAGCTGCATGAGCCTAACAGTTCATCCTTGCTCCCACGTCCCTTAGGTGTGATGCAAAAGGCCCAGATGGGTGGGGGTTTTGTTACAGGAAAGGAACATTGAGCTTGGGGAACCTGCTGTTTTATAGCAAGCACTAAGTAAGCCTACTCTTTGTTCCTGCAAACACATCTCTGAGGAGTGGTCTGCGTAAAAAGCAGGGCCTTGCATTCTTGGCATACCCAGCAAGAAGGGGCTGGGATGCTTGGGCCAATAGTGGATTGCCTCTGCCAAGACTGTCAGCTGTTTAATAGCAGGGGGTCACCTAGCTGCATGTTTGTCCTCCCTCCACAAGGGATAGGACACTAGATCAGGCCAAGAGTAGTAGTTGTAGACCTAACTGCTTAAGTGAGATTTTTTTCTACATGGGATCTAAGGCCAAGAAACTGGGGGTAAGAAAAATGGGTGCTGGCCTTTTTAGATTTCAAGACAGAAGATACGAAGACCTTGAAGTGTTGGAAAAGGAAAAGATAACATAAGGTTAAACATCCAGGTCAGACTTACTTTCCAGAGCTATCTAGTCTGACCTTTGCCTAAATTCTGGAGAAAGGAGGAAGACAGAGTAAAGCCTCGGTGATCACTAACCAAATGGAAAAACAAGATGGTACAGGGCACCCATAAAGTCACCAAATTGCTACCATAAAAATAGGAAATTTGGTTATATCACAATGTCAAGCCATCAGTGAGGAGCAGAATGTTCATTTGCAGAGACTCACAAAGTGAGGGTAAATACAGACTACTAGATCCATTTTTTGAAACTTACCCCACCTCTTCCCACTGAGACTGTAACCTGCCCTAGGACCAAATTCCCTACGGAATTAGTCTTTGTTTTGTCTTCTTTCTCTACCACCAGTGGATTTAAAGGGCTGGTCATATGCATACCTTAAAGTCTGTTGAGGCAAGAGCCAATAACCAGAGAACCCAAAGGACACAAGCTGAAAGCATCATGTTGACACTCCTATTGATGGCTTAGGAATCACAATATAAGACAAGATTTATGTGTGGGGCATGGGCACTAGCTTCTAGGATACTGTAGAGTAGATGATAGTTCTAAATTTTAATCTTTGAGAGGAAGATTTTGTGACCACCTTCTGGTGACCTGAGATCCATATATGTCCTCAACCTGCAGCTCTAGATGATGACAGATCATCAAAGGATAAAGAGATATAAAGGCTGCCTATAATTGTTTTTTGCAATAAAAATAGTTCCCCAGGGTAGGTTTTTTTTTCCCCCTCAGTTTAATTTACCTGAACTAACAAAGCCATTTAGTCAGAATCAGGATTTGAAAGATCTGGCTTCAAAGCCATCTTCCCGTTAAACTCTGCTGTCTCCATCATCTGTGAAGGATTTGTCCCACCTCAGCATATATGTGAGTACCTACTCTGCCTGGTAGTGAGCTTGGATATGAAAGGGAATTACTCTATTCCTCCAAGACATTATGTAGAATGAAAAGAGAACTTGTCTCTCATACTTGTACTTACAGGGAAACTACAGTTTCAGACTGACTGGGAGGTCGCCACTACCATGCAAATGGCTTCTTGTCCTGGTCTACAGTGTTGCTGGTGCAAAAGTGCAAAGAGGGCTCCTCTCTACACCTCATTTAACTATTTCCAGCATGGCTGTGGTAGCCAGCCTCCAAAATGGCTCCTGACGCTCCTGTGCAGTCTCCTCTCACAGTGCACCAGGGGTGGCCCATGTGGCCGATAGAACAGGGCAGACAGGATGGTGTGTGACTTCAGAGCCGAAGCTGTAAGCAACGTGGCTGCTTCTGCCTGGCTCTCTCTTGGATTACTCTGGGAGAAACCTGCCACCATATCATGAGGACACCCAAGTAGCCATAGGTCAAGGTTTACATGGGGAGGATCTGAGCCTCCTGAAAACCACCAGCCCCAATTTGCAGCTATGTGAATGAGCCATAAAAGCAGATCCTCCAGCCCCAGTCAAGACTTCAGATGACTGCAGCCCTAGCCAATGCCTTAACTGCAGCCTCATGAGAGACCCCCAAGCAAGGACCATCCAGCTAAGCTGCTCCCAAACTCTTGACCCACAGAATATAATAAGGTAATATAACATTTGTTTAAAGTTTTAAACTGCCGATTTGGGGCTAATTTGTTATGCAGCAACATACAACTGATACAATGACCAAAGCTGGTGTACCAAGAAAAACTGAGCCAGCCTTTCGCCAAAACCTATCCAATTAGATGACAGGGGCAGGGCAAAGCTCTCCAGTGCTAGAGGCTCAACTTGTCTCCAAAGCGGGGAAAATATCTTATGTAAATTATATACTCAAAGCATATAAATGAACACTGGTTCCCAGCTATTGCTACTAAAACCAAATAGAAGCTTCTTTGTTGGAATGGTTGCTAAAATGTCCTCAGCACATGTTGGAAAATATTTTAATGGACTCTTGGCTGGCAGGTTCCAGTCACAAATCCACGTCTTCCGTCCAGGGGGTCTCCATAACTCCCAAAAGCTGGTGCGGGGGAGAGCAGCTCGGGAGAGCAGCTCATGAGCAGCTGCAGCATGCCAGGGTCTGGCCTAGTTTCCCAGGCACCTGTTGTCACTACTCCGTGCCTCCTCCCAATGCTGGGAAAGTAAGTGGCTCAGATGCACAAATTGATTCTGTTCCTGCTTAAGTCCCTAAGAAAGTGGTTGCTTTGTGTACTTTTCTCCTCAGCCCTCTCCACCCCAAGTCTCCCACCATCTCCCAGACTAGGTGAGCAGCAACTTTATCAGGCCTGAGATCAACGACAACCTGGGTTCTTTCTAGCTGTCTGGAACAAGTGACTGACTCACCTATCAGAGCAGTTTTGCCTTAGACTACGCTCTCACGGATGCTCCCGCAGAGAAGGAAGCCCATGGTGCCGTGTCTGGTCCTCTGCACAGCAGGAGATGACAAAACTTTGGCCCACCATCATCCTGGCCCCTTTCTTTCTTTCTGTAATGCCATGGAAGGCCTTAAGGGTTCAGCCAGAGGTGAGCACTGACCCTATGAGGACAGCAGGAAGTTCAGGGTCTGCCTGTAGAGGAGCGTCTTCCTGTCTCGCAGCTGCCCAAGTGGCTGTTTCCAGACATGACTATGAAATGTTCAGTCCCACAAATTCTGTGCCCTGCAGCTAGGAGGGATGCAAAGTGAGCTGAAGATACGGTCCGATCTCCAATGAGATTACTATCTGGGGGGAGAGTTTACTTGCATGAAAATACTGACCAGAAACAAAAGTCAAGGCCCCCGCCCGCCACACACACCTACACGCAGCCCTCTGCTCCAGATCACTCAGCGCCACTCTCTGCCTTACGTTGATGTGACACCACGGGCAGCCCTAGCCCCAGCCGCACTGAGCACGTTGGCTCTAACTTGTCAGGGAAGAAATGACTGTATTTATGGGGAGCACAAAGGAAGGCACTAAATGATTTCTTGGTCTACCGATTAGCCTAAAATATTGAATGTTTTGCTTTTAACTCCGTTTTCTTCCCTAAGCATGAATTTTTAAAAACAAAAACACTTTTCTGCTTAAAAAAATGACCCTCTTGGAAATTGGCACCTAGGATGCTTCTAGACGAATTTTAGTGTCAACATTATAGGTAAGCATCTTGGCCCAGTAGTAAAGCAGCTATAACACCACTGTAGAAACAAAAAGTCATAAAATAATAACCACCGTATGCTATGCCAGGATTTACAGTGTACAAGATACTTTGACATTCACTATCTTGTCTGGTCCTCACAACAGCCCTGGTAAGCAACCAGGTGATGGATGCCCTCTCCATTTTACAGGGAGAAAAATTAGGTTTGATTCAGAGCAATTGCCATTGTGAATTTTAACTCAGCTCTTGCCAAAGATGAACACTTAACCTGGGGAGAATTATTTAGCCCAAAAGTCCTTTGCTCGTAATAATAGAGAAAAAACTGCAAGAGTGACCTGGATAAAACAAGCTGCCAAAAAGAAAGACACCAGTCCCCATCATGCAGAAAACATTCACGTAAGTTACAAATTCTGCTAGGTAACTCTTCCTCTTTAAGATCTCAGCTTTAGGCTGGGCATGGTGGCTCATTCCTGTAATCTTAGCACTCTGGGAGGCCAAGGTGGGAGGATGGCTTGAGGTCAGGAGTTCAAGACCAGCCTCAGCAAGAGCGAGGCCTCGTCTCTAATAAAAATATAAAGAAATTAGCCAGACAA